TAGATAGATGGATGGATAGATAGATGGATGGATAGATGAAATTGGTGGAAAAAAGAGAATGAGAAATGAAATGTTTGAATGTTCGTTCATTGCTCGTTTTTTTTTTTTTTTCAGCTTTTTTCAATTTAAAATTTTTGGTATTTCGTTTTTCTCTCTCTTTTTCTTCTTTTTTTGGTATTTTATAAGTGAAAATTTGTGTTATTACAGTTTTAAACTTAATTATTTCTTCTCTTCCTTTTCTTTTTTTCTTTTTTATAAATGATATTATTATTGTTTTTTTTTTTTTGATAATTTAAAATGCGCTAAAATATCAATAAAATTGCTAGTGATCAGTTCTGAACATAAAATTACGCAAATATTATTTTACGATAATTATTCGTTACATTATCAATAATTGAGCTTTATTGAAATTTTTTTTGTTTCGACAATTTTATAATTTAAAAATGAATCCATTAATTTAATTTTCATATTTTATTTTCTCATAGTTTTCTTCTCTATTATCACTCATTTGGACCATTTCAATGTTACAGTAAGAAGCATTCAATTGATTTTGACAATTATCCATTATTGTACCTAAATCTGTGTAATAAACAAGTTCTTGTTGAATTGCGGTAATGCACGTGGTGCATTATTGAGGTGTTATTGCTTCATCATATGTTGATCATTAAATTGATTGAAATGATTAATTTCATCACTTTAATTCTTCATTCATAGCCAATGAATTTGGTGATAATTTCATATGCAAGATGATATGATTTTTTTTATGTTATTAGCATTTGATGAACCGAATTAGATAGCTGGCTAATTGAATTCAATGAGATGTATAATAGTTTGTATTAATGCGTGCTATATCATCCCAATGAATTTTAACTACACATCTCACTATTATCATTATCGCCATCATCATCACCATCATCATCATCATCATCATCATCATCATCATCATCATCATCATCATCATCATCATCATTACTATTACCATTATCATCATCACTATCAGCACATCACCATCATCATTTATCAGTTTCACTATCAATTAACATTTAAGAGTAGCAGAAGAAGAAGAAATATCGCTGCTCATTGTAGAATGAGTGACCTTCTGGTCTCCTCTTACTCCTATACTCATATCTATCCACTATCATCCTAACTTTCCATTTATTTCAAAAATATTCTCTTCTTTCTTAGCCTTACATCATTTCACTTCTCCTTTGCTCTTCAATTTCTTCTAATTCAATTCAAAACTTATTACCATCTTTTATCATCTCTTCTTTCCTTCCTACTACTATTGTTAGGCAAGCTATATATATATACTTGTGTTAAATTTCAATTTTCCCATCTATCATTTCTTACTTTTTCTACCAAAAAAGAAAAATCATCATTATTTCTATACTCGCTTCAATATTTCCCATTATTTATGATGTTAGTGATTCAATATTATCATAAACTGAAAATATCATATCTATTTTTATTTGTAATCAATAGTACTGCTAAATGACAAACTGTTATTGTTATCAACAACAGCAATTACTACTACAGTTGCTGTTACTACAATTAATATAATTATTACTCCGTGTTACAGGTATGAACCATTGTCATGAGTATCAATTTATACCGATGATAGTGGTACCATAATATCATGATCTAATAAATATGATCCATTATAATGCTTATTATAATCACATTTCGATATTTCTTTATGTTTTACTTAAACTTTTATACATCAATTTAGTTATAATTTATGAATTTGCAATAATTTAACGAATTACATCACATTCTGCATCAATGATAATTGCATATGTAATAGCAGAAAAAAAGGATAATGTATATCATAATTTAATTCTACGTTTATAATTAGCATAAAGTTTGGAATAATTTATGCATAACATGTTTTAGGTTTGTTTTTTTTTTTTAAATATATGCAATTGATAATTAGTAAAAGTAATCAGTGCAGTTTAATTATTCTTTTTATTCTACTAATGTGTAATTTTAGCATTTCATTCGTGAAATATATAAAATTGGAAAATAATATAAGAGTTATGAATACTAAATGATTCTTTACATAGTTTGCAATGCTTTTTGCTAATAAGTCTAGCTTAAATTAATTATGATCATTTTCTTTTTGCTTTTTTTTTTCGTTTTTTTTAAACATGAAATTCAAAATTTATGTTGAGATGGTTGAATTGGAATGTAATTTAATGATTGATTAATTAATGACGGATGATAATAGAGTTAAAAGCATGAATTTTGCCGAGAAATGAATGTAAGATAAGTTTGATGAAGAGATAGATATATTGGAAATGAATGAGTGAGTGAGAGAGAAAGGAATAAAGCTCTATAATTGCGTCGAAAAAAAATGAATAAATAAGATTTAGAATTAAAATTGATATTAATATTAATATTTAATTAATTGTATTTCATTCCTCTGTTTTGCATTCTCATTTTTTTATCCCAAATTTAAATTCTTCACTGAATTGAAATGTATATATTTCTTTTAATTTAGCATTGCGATATTTCCAATATTAGCAAAAAAGGATGAGAAATGGTTAAGAGAGCGGGAGAGAGAGAGAGAGAGGGAGGGAGTTGAATTTAAAATGAAATAATGATTTACCGCGTTGTGATACTTTTTTTTTCCTTCCATTCTCCAAAATTTATCTTTTCCTAGGGAAGTATCATCCCCTCAAATAACTCTAATTTAATACAATTTAATAGTCATACGACTTTATAACATGTACATAGTTACTTATAATTGATAATTGAATTAAAAATAACATTACAGTATTTGTGAATAATAAATTTTTTTTTTTGCTGTTAAATTTTAATAAGTAGTATAAAATGTTACAGTAAAATATTACACATTACTTGCAATCCTATATTGTATAAAGAGATATGAAACATATGGATTATATTATTTAAATTTTTAAATTATTAATGAGAAAAAAATGTGTGACATATATTTATTAAATTTATAAAGTTGTACGTATATTTTCCTCCATACATGCAATAAAATTTGACTGCATTTGAAACGAGTAATTGATAATATATGATTAATTTGAAAATTTAACGGTATTGATATCCTAAGGTAACTGTTGTGACAAAATTGATCAAGAATATCCGTTATAGTGTTTTTATTGGATTACTAAATGATGATTATTTTCACATTTTTTCAACCTTAAAATTATTTTGAATTATTTGTTTACAATTATAATTTCATTCGTTTTTCAATGTATAGCTGCTGATCAACTGAACTTTTTGTAAATTATTTATAATAAATTTGAAAAATTTTTCAGGGAGGAAACGGTGCATCTAATTTCAGTGCCCTCAGATGTGTCTTCATCTAGTCAGAAATATCTCTGGAAACCAGCTTTTCTGCTATTTGCTGGTACATATAGGAATTATTGCAAACTATTACTGATATGTGTAATCCTTTAAAATCAAACTTTTGAAATTTTCTAAGAAATAAAAAAACAAGATGTCGGGTCGAGAAGTGGAATCAGCCCTTCATCTTGGCCTTGTCTTTCAACAAATTCCAGGTATGATTTTTACTTGTGTGTGTGTGTGTGTGTGTGTGTGTGTGTGTGTGTGTGTGTGTGTGTGTGAGTGTGTGTTTTTTTAATTTCATGTGTTTGCTTTATATGATGAATATTTTAAATGATAAGAGAACACTGAATTCATATTAATAACTTGAAAAATTGTAATAAACATCATTGATGCGTAAAAATTTATGGAAGGAAGTCTGTTTCGAATTTTTCTATCGTTTATTTTATTGCATGCATGCATGCATGTTAAGAACTGGATGCACATATAAATTTGCGAATTCCCTTTAGCATTCATGTTTTTGTTTTGGATTTTAAATTTAAAATTGGTCGCATGCTATAGCATTGCTGTACATCCATGCCGTAGCTTTTTTTTTTCCCTCTCTTACCTTTACACTTCCCCAAATTTAAAGCATATAATAGTTAATTTGAGGTGCCATCTTCAATAAAATCGTTCTTTGATGTTACCGCTTTTTATTGCAACCCATCGTAAGATGAGAAGTGAAGTATCAAGTAAAAGTTATCGGTGAAAAGAGTAAAAATATTACATTATAGAAATATGAAAACTAAGGATTGCATCAAAATATTTTGTTGCGAGAAAAGAAAGGATCGAAAAAATTTTCCCCAATTTTTGTTTTGCATTTTATTTCATAAAAGCTTTAAAAAAAATTGTTTTTTTTAAACAAACACGGTTTATGATAATAATATGATGTCACTATCCGGTGATAGCATTGATTTTTCCCATCATAGGATTCTGAAGATCAGTTTTGATGATAAAATTTAATACTCTCAGATTGAATGATAATGTTTAATTGAATTCACCCTAAAGTGATAATATTGCTAACAAAATATCATCTGTTATTAAAAATGAAGTTTTGTATTTTTAGTTTTAACGTGAAAAATTTAATAGCAACGTCGTTGAGAATGAAATTTTGTTAAAATTAATCACGATAATGAAACTTGCATCTTCTTTACATAATGCACGTCAATCGATATATTTCAAATTTAAAGCATGAAATTTTTTTTTCAAAATTCCCACGTTAAAAAGTTTTTCATTTGGTGCAAATTTTGCAGAAACGTCAACGGTACCAGCAACATCTGGTGAGACGTCACGTAAGCGTACGGCAGATGTGGAACCCACTGCAGATGTTCCATCGGCAAGTCGCCGTCGTCGTAATGCTAACACGGATGCATCATCATATATTAGGCCTACATTTCCCAGTTGCTGCGTTAACGGTACGTTATTCTAACATTTCATTTATTTATTTTAATTAGCTGTTCCGTGAAAAAATTCAATGCTAAATTGATTTTTACAAAAAACAAAAAAACGAAAAAAATTACTAAAATAATCTAACTTTAACAATGTTCAACATGTCCTAAATAGTCGAAGTATAAAAAATATTATCGATTGATATTTTATAGGATTTTAAATAGAACATTTCTCTCTTTACACTCTTCCAAGTATTTTTATTTCATAAAAATAGCTGAAATAAAATGGGTAAAATATGAATTTTGATATAATTTACTTGGAAGCAAGTTG